CCAGCCTCAGCCTTCCCGGGCGCCCCGGTGACCCTGTCACTGGCCGGGAGCTTGCAGCTCCAACGCCCTGGGGAAGGGAGGCGTTGCTGGGAGGTCGGTGGGCCCCGGGGTTAGCCGGCGGAGATGGCGTCCGGGCCTCCCCCTCGAGGGCCCGCCCGGCCTCTGTCCGGCCTGTCCGCTGCGCATTCCCGGGCCCGGCCCCGCTGCCGGCCGCCGGAGCTCCCCCGCCCGCCGCGCCGCGGTTTGTTTACGGTGCGCCGGAGGCCTGCCCCCCCAGCTCCCACCCCCAGCCTCCCAGGCCGAGGCCGAGTGGCCTTTGCAAGGCTGCCTCCAGCAGAGGAGGGCGGTAGGAGTAGGGTTGGAGGTGGGCTTGCACGGGCCCCAGGAGAAAGAAGTCTCCCCCCACCCCCCATTTCACTCGCCTCCCCGATTGAACATGGCTCTCTGGTTGCAACACAACTAATTACAAAAACGCAGCTGGGTGTGTGTGTGTGTTGGGGGGGGGCTGTATCTGAGGGTCCCTGGGTATTTAGGGGAGTTGCAAGCTAGGGTGGTTGGGGAAAAGAGGGAAGAATGGGCCGTGTTGTGTGCCACCCGCTTCCCTCCCCTTGCAACGTGTCTCTTGTGCCCCTTCTCTGCCCCGGCCCCCCCCCTTGTCCAGTGTGAAGGTAAAGCCTGCGGGGTGGGGGTTACAGGGGCAATGGAGAGAGCCTCCCATTTTCCGGGGGAGGGGGGCTTGGAGGGGGGTGGAGGGCTGGAGGTCGCAGAAGGAAAGCCAGTGGGATGGTAGCCCACCCCTCAATGCTGGCTCAGGCCCCAGGAAGGGGAGGGGCATAGGGGGCTGTGGTCCAAGATGAGGGGGAAGCAAATGTGCCATGCAGACACAGAGATATGTGCCACATGCACACCCAGGGACACCCAGGCAGACTCAAGGACAGGAACTGCTGGACACACCCACATGGGGACAAGGGAAGAGGCACGCTGCCACTGCACAGGGGAGCTCAGAAGGGTGGGACACACCCACGGGAGACCAACCCATGCACATACCCACGCATAGGGTCATGGGGAGATGCTCTCATACACAACAAGGAGGAGTCGCTGTCACCCACACAGAAAAAGTCACTATCGCCTGCATGCATGAACGCAGAGCAATTGCACACAGCCACACATTACAAAAGACCCTGTCACTCACAGGCACACACGTGCTCGCGTGAGCCCAGTCACACAGGCATCATCGCCTTGCCGTGACAGTCACTGTCACTCGGTCAGACGCAGACACAGTTACACATCAACACACATATACGCAACTCAGCAACAAGTATTTTCCTGGACTCTTACTGTGGCTTTCTGAGGTGCTGTGTACCACACACACACAAAAATCCTGCTCCCATAATGGTGGAAGGCACGCAGTCACTCTAGCTAACATTCTCTGTCTCTTTCCCTTGTCATCCCACCCCCTAGATGGTGAGCTCCTTGAGACCCAGGAGAATCACTGGAATTGCTCTGGATCCCACCCAGAGCTGAGCATAGGAAGTGCTCCGTAATCCTTTTTAATTGATTGACTTGGGAACTCTGGCCACAGGTGCACGCATCTGCACACAGTCCTGGGGGCTCAGGTGCAGGAGGCACTCAGAAGGTTCAGGACCACACAGTCGCAGGTCTGCAACCCCGGATGCACACACTGTAGCCGTGCGGTCAGGCACACCCCTAGATGCACACGCAGTCATAGACTTTTCCCCTCAAGCTTCCTCCTGCCTTCTTTTTCCAGGCCCTTTTTTTTTTTTTTGAGGGACAGAAAAATCAGAGCAAAGTGGGGAGGGGGTTCCAGAGGGCCGCGTCACGCACGTGAAGCAGTGTTCTGTGACTTCGGGAGCTGAGATGACCCTGGCTGCTGGGGGGGAGGGAGTCTTGGGGAGACCTGCCTCCTAGGGAGCAGCCCCCATCCCCACCCCAAAATCGGATAACCTCAGTGCCCCTGCTGAGTTCGTTGGCCTGGGCTGTTACTGGGATTGCTCACCGGCCTCCCCCCCAGCCCCCACCGAGTTCCTGCCTCCCACCGGGAGTCTGGCCCCTTTTTTCAGCTCTGCCCTCCTGTCTAAACTTGGAAGCCTCCCTTAGGAGGCCGTAAGCTGGTGAGTGTCTGGGTGAGTGCTGTGTATTTTTGACTTGGAATTTTGCTCCACCGAGGTCTCCGTTGCTCTGTCTCGGTTGGGTCTCCTCTCCCTCCCCCTGTTTCTCTGCCAGTCTCACCCTGTCCCTTTCGCCCGCCTCGTTGACCCCTGTTCTGGTGTCTGTTTCTGCCACAGCCTCCTTGCTCAGAGCTGGGAACCAGCGGTGGTGTTCTCCATTCTTCTCCAGTTGCTAGCACTCAGACCCCGCCCCTCGGCCTGCCTGCCCTGCCTCTGGGGTCAGCGAGAGGTTGGGGTGGGGGGCGGGGGGCTCAGCTGGCTGCTTCAGGACATCCTGCACTTCCTCAGCGCTGCAGCTGCAGCCAGCAAGTTTGGGGGGCTGCGCATAGTGGGAGAAGAGAAGGGGTCAACCACTGCCCACGCTGACTTCTCAGGTCGGTGGGCTCTGGCTGGGTGGAAGGCCTGGGTGGGCAAGCCACACCTGGTTAGCCGAGGGTTCCTCCACACTGACCCACTGGAAAAGAATCACCCCCCCAGGGGCAGTGGCGGGAGTTGGCAGGACTCAGCTGAGCAGGACTCACAATGGCCTTTCTCCACATCCCTGGCAGCTGAGACCCACCTCAGAGATGCCCAACAGCTGTGTCCGCTTTGCCCAGCCTCTGAGCCTGGTTCTGAGGGTACAGCTGCCCTGACTTTGTGTGGGGCTGTGTGAGGCCCTCTCCCATGGGCTGGCCCTCCACTTTGGACCGGCAGGGCAGGCAGTTCTTCCAGAGAGGAAATCTGAGCAGGGGGCACTTACCATTTCTGGCCATGCTCCCCTCTAACTGTGGTCTGGACGATGGATGAGGAGGTGCTGGCATGGATTCCACCCTAGAGAATCCATGGCTACTACAGAAAGGGAAACTGAGGCTGGGTCACAGGGAACACATAGGTGGATGAAAGAACAAGGTATTGTTCCTCTAGCAGGTGATATGCTATAATGGCTAAAAACAGGGATATATATGTGTGTATATATGCGTGTGTGTATATATGTATATGTTTATCTGTACACACACGTGTGTATATATGTAGGAGCTGGAGTGCCTGGGTTTGAATCCCAGCTCTGCCACTGGCAGTTGTATAATCCTAGGCAAGCAATTCAACCTCTCCTTTGGCTTGTCTGTAAACTGAGGATGGTAAGACCAACCTCATTCAGTTTTTTGAGGATTACAGCAGTCAAAATATATAAAATGCTTTTAAAAAGTGCCTGGTGCACAATAAGCACTGTATGTGTCAGCTGTTACAGCAAGGAAATCTGTGGGTCTGGGGTCTCCTGGATTTCTTGGAGAAGCTTGGTGGAGAATTGGATCTCCTGGCCATCACAGGCATGAGGTGGGGGTGGTAGGGATAGTGGGTCCCTAATCTCCAGCCTCCTTGTCACCTCTCCCGCCAGGGGTCTGGGCAGCCTGGAGCCCCTCTGCCACCTCTGTGCCCTCCTCCAACCCTCACCTTATTTAGCTGCTTCTTAAAGGAGCCCTTGGTATCTCAGCCTGGGACACACCTCCCCAGATAGGGACAAATGCATGAATGTTTGGGCATCACTGCATCTCTGTTGGGACAAGTCTGAGCACTGGGAGTGTAGGAGAGGAAAAACAAGGAAAGCAGGCTCCTCTCCACAACCCCTCTCACTTCTTATGTGTGGAGTAAGTCACCCTTCCTCTCTCCTGGGGACCCAAAATCTCAGCTACCTACCATGGATCTATCACTCAGGACCCACCCTTGGCTGACAGATTCCCCACCCCTGCATGGAGGGAACATTAGTGTGGAGGGTGGGGGCTGTGAATAAGGAGGGTGTTGGGTGCAGCACCTGGCGGTCCGGGGTCTTTCCTGGGTTGCCTCTTATCCTCTATGAGTCTGGTGATAAAACTCTTCTCTCCGGCCTCCATCCCTTTTATGCGCTCCCCCAGGACAATGGGTGGGATATGCCCTGCAATGGGCCACTGGGGAACCTCTGGAGTGGGGGCGCTAATCTCAACCCTAGTTCTCACGGCTGCAAAGGTGGGGGACTTTTTGCCTCAGGGGGAAGGGAGGCACGCATGACCATGGTGGGAAGACCACTGCCTGGGAGTTGGAGGCTGGGTTTTCGCCACTTGCCAGTTGCTGACTTTGGGTTTAGGTTTTCAAAATCTGGAGACAGGGATGCCCACCTCCTGCGGAGTAAGGGCAAATAACATAACGTGAGATGACACCTGTAGTCAGTCCCTGTTGCTAGCTGTCACGGCCAACAAGGCCTGTGGATTCTCTTCTCTTCCCAGGGTCTGGAACGCTGCAGGGTGGGTGGGGACACGCAGGCCACTTGGAACCAGAGCTGGTTCTCAGGCTCTCCCAGAGGCGGCTGGGGCTGGTGGAGAGAGGAGACCGTGTGGTTCTCAGGCATGTGGTGTTGCTTGCCTTCCCCCCTGGCAGGCCACAGCCGGGGCACCAAAGGGGGACCAGCCTGTGGCATGCCAGGCTGTGAGGTGGTCCAGAGGGAGGCGTCAGACAAGAGGAGCAAGATGGAACTCGCCAGTGCCCAGAAAATGCTCTTTGCTCCCCTGCTTCGGAGGTGGGCACCCAGTCTGGGCACGGAACTGGGGTTAAAGGTTAGGGCCAAGAGCACGCCTCTGGCAGTGGCCCAGAGCAGCGGGACTGGACCCAGCCCCCATGCCTCTTCTTCCTCCTGGCTTCCTCTTGTAAGGAGGAGATGAGCTCTTGGCTCCCAGAGCCGCCTGTTTCATTTTCTCTTTTACTCAGGCGCATGGGGCGTGGGCGCGGGAAGGGGAGCGCGCGGACCCCAGGCTTTGGTGGCCATCGGGTGTCTTGGTACACATCAGTGAGTGGGTGTGTTGTGCGCCCGTCCATGTGTGCGCATTTTGTGCCTGTGTGGGCCAGGGAGGGCTCTGACTATCTGCTGGAATGGGGTACCGGAGCCCGCGGCTCTGCGCATGCGGGGTGAGTGTGTGTGTCTGCACGTGTCCGTGTGTGTGCGGGCAGACTCGGCTGCATTTACTTGCTCGCTCTCGCCTGCTCTCTCTCTCTCCCTCCCCTCTCTCCCTCTCCCCCTCTCTCCCCCTCTCTCTCCCTCTCCCTCTCCCTCCCTCCCTCTCTCTCTCTCTCTCTCTCTCTTTTTCTCTCTCTCTCTCTCTCACACACACACACACAATTTTCAATCTCTCCTCCCTTTCCTCATTCCCTCCCTCCGTCTCCCAGCTCCTCTCTCCCCGCTTCCCTCTCAGTCCCTCCTCCCTCCCCAGCCTTGCCTGTGCCTGTTCGGCTTGGCTGGGGGCTATCTCTGCCTCTCTGGGGGTGCCTGGGAGAACATCCCTGCTTTTCGTTTCAACCATTCCCTTCCCTCCTGGGCGGAGCTCCCCAGGGCTTGCAGACTCCTCTGTGCCACCTCCTCCCTGGAAGAGGGGAGTGGGGAAAGGAGGACCCCAGCCCTATGCCCATGATGCCATCTGCAGTGAGCGCCTTGGCCCCGTGACATTCATGCCTCCAGCCTTCAGCTGCCCCAGCTCCCAGCTCCAATTACCCACTGGCTGCTGGGGGTGGGGGTGGGGGGGCAGGGAGAGTGTGCTCAGGCTGGGGGTGCTCCTAACTCTGCCTTGGCTATTTGGATCTCCCCCTCCATTCCTTGTGGGGAGCAGAGGGGGTATGAAGATCTGTGGGTCGGCAGGGAAGGGGCTGAGCTCTTGAGCAGGGGCTGGGCACCACCATCATCAGTAGGTGTGGAGGGGGGTGTGGAGGTGAGCCCCACACCTGGGTGCCCACCTTGCTGCCTGACCAGAGCTGGCCTGGGATGGGAGGAGGGGCAGGAGAGCAGCAGGTGGGTGAGGTTATGGTGGGGGTGGGCGGGAAGCCCAACAGTCTTTGATGTTCCTACTGGGCATCTGGCCCAAGTCAAGGCTACTGTTTATGTCTTTCTGTCTCTGACCTGCAGGGGGGAATTTCCTGTTATATTTTTTGGGGGGAGAGGATCCTTTTGTTTAAGTAACCAATCTCCCCCTTATACCCCCACCCCCATCTCCCATTAGCCTCCAAGGCCCCAGAGTGGCTTGGAGATCAGACGTCAAGGGTCACTGCCCTTCAGCTCCAGAATCCCTGCTCATGGGGGCCCTGTGAGCGCCCACCGAGGGTTGCTGCCTCCCCCCGGCTCCTCCCGCTTGCCAAGCTGGTGCCTGCGTCTGTATACTCATCTGCCATCACACACCTGCCAAAGAGGACCTCCCTTTCCACCTTCACCCCTCCTCTCCCTCCTGGCACTGGGATGAGAGGGAGTTGGGTGGGGCAGCCCCCGCCCAGTCCATACCTGAGAGGGGGAGGGAATCTGGGAAAGGAGGTAAAGGTCGCAGCCCTGAGAGGCACCCAGCCCTCAACCTGGGGGCCTGTGTGCCTGCTGCAACCTCCACCATCGCCAGAACCCCTGGGGGCTGTGGGTGTCTGTGGCTGCCCATGGGAGCCCAAGTTGGCACAGGCGGTCATGTCTGCACACAGATGCCTGTGTTTGCCTGTGCATGCCCGCGCGCATGTGTCTGGTGTGTGTGTGTTTGTGGGTGGGCTGCAGTGGCCACCTGGGCCTCTTAGCATCACCCTTGTTGGCCCCCATGGTGTGCAGTCAGGGCATCAGTGCCAGATAGTTGGGAGTGGGGGTGAAGTATCTCCCCCCACCCTAGCAGCAGGCAAAGGGGAAGGGGAGAGGGAGGTGCGAACCTCCCCACAGCACTATTAATAGCCCACATGCCAGGCCACCAAGAACCAGCTGTCACCGTGGAAACCATTTCTGCTCTCCCCTCCCCCCAGCCTCCGTGAGGTGGGACTTGGGCGGGGCCCTGCGCACCCCCCACCCATCTTCCTTTGTTACCTTTCTCTCTGTGTGTCTCCTCCCCTCCTCTGCCCCTCAGTCTCCCCCACCCTCCCCTCCCCAGCCCCACCTCCAAGCCGCCTTTCTTCCTCTCCATCTCCTTCATTGTCATCCCTGCCTCTGCCCCAGTCGCGGCCCATCTCTTTGTTCTTGCCCCTCCTCGTCCTTCCCCCCTCTCCGCCTTCGTCCCTTTCACCCTTCTCCTCCTCTCTCTCCCCTTCTCTCAGCCCCCCTCTCTCTGCGTCCTTCCCTCTGCTTGGCAAGGAGGAGGGCTGGGCTTCCCTTAGCATTAAGGACAAGGTTCAGGGGCCCTGACTGGTGGGCCAGAGCCAGGAGTAGACACAGGAGCCGGGTGTGGAGGCCTGGGGGCTCGATCCGGGGGCAGAGAGTCCCCCCTCTGGCAGCCCTAGGCATCCTTCCAGGGAGTCCCTTGGGTCCACAGGACTGCAGAGAGGGACAGTCCCGGCAGCGGGGACCTGGCCTGGTGCCTGTGGATGCTGCATTGGCCTCTTGTCTCTGTCCCCCCATCCCAGAAGCACTTAAGCTTAATGAAATGCTTCCCCCTCCACGGGCGCCTTGCCCACACTGCCACCAGGCAGCTCTTATCTGACAAAGAGGGAGTGGGTGGCCAGGCCCGCCGACAGGTGGGCCTTGCCTTCCGGCTGTCCAGCCCCTCCTCGCCGAGCAGCATGGCTCCAGCCCGTCCGCTTCCAGGGGGCTGAGCCTCTTTCTCTGCGGGTCTGTGCCCCCAGCAGGCACTTGGGGAACGGAGAGGATTGCAGGAGGAGGGGTGAGAGGCTGCCCTTCAGGGTGGGTGTCCCCGCCCCGCTTCCCCGTGGACTTTTATCTGCCCACGGCTGACACAGGCCTGGCCCACGTGCTCCTGTGGCCCATGTGCCTCCCTGCATGCTGGGCTCTCTGCCCGCTCTGTCGCCTCGGAGGCCCAGGTATGTCCCCAGAGAGACAAAAAGGAGCCCTCAGGGGTTCCAGCCTCTTGCTAAGTGCCAGGCGAGGGTGCCCTGAGCCGCGAGGGCAGGACCTTGCTCCTGCCTGCCGCCAGGGGCTCCGGGGAGTCTGGGTGGTGCCCACGGGCAGCAGGCACCGGTCTGCTCAACGCCCCTCCCAGCAGGCACGTGCAAGCCCTTGGCAGTGCCCAGACACATTTGGAGTTAAGACTGGACCTGGGAGGGGGAAGGGAAGGTAAACATGGTGGCGGAGGTTGGCGCTGCCCCAGGGGTGGCCTGTCGGGGCAGTGGCAGGAGTGAGCGGGGAGGGGGTTCCTCCAGCTCCACGGCCTGCGAGGGAGTTGCCCACGCCAAGCACTGCTGCCGGGATTCCCCGCCTGGCCTGGCTCACAGCTGTCGGTACCCAGGCCTGCACACCCTGGCGGCCTTCACCTGCCCCAGGGCCTGCTCCCGGGGCTGTCCCCATCTCCCAGCGCCCACCCCTGGGCCTGCCTCCTCCCCTCCCCGGGGGCGCCCGGGCCTCAGGCTGGCGAGTGGATTTTTCCAGCTTCTGTAAACAAGTGGTGGCAGCATGCCAGGTGAGCAGGAGACAGGCGGGGGCAGCACCACAGCCAGGGTGTGCCAAGCACCGAGGCACAGTCTTGGGGGGAGGGGGAGCCCGGGAGACACCCAGCCCCCGGGAGAGAGAGAGGAGAGAGAGACATTCAGATGCAGACGGACAGACCAGAGGAAGCTTCACTGGGCACAGAGAGGAGTGGAAACAGAAAATAGCCCTCTATTGTCAGCCCCACCCCCACGACTGCCCTGGCCCCCCCTGCCCCTCGGTGCTCTGGCTGGGAGCGGCAGGCCCCTGTGCCCAGGCCCTGGGCAACCCCACCCACTCCTTTTCTCCCCCACCTCCACCCCTTAGGGCTGGCTACGCCATTATAAATTTATAACAGGAATTTCTCCGCAAGCCAAGAAAAACTTGACCTACTTTCTTGACGGCTCCCTGGGCTAAGGCTCCCCGCTCGCACCCGCCCCCCCCAATGTCTCCTGTCCAGCCCCCAGTCCTGGTCTGTGGGGGTATCAGAGGCAGAACGGGCCACCCTTCTGTCCTGCCCTGCTCCCCAGAATGGGGACTCACCCCAGTGCCCTGTCCCGTGGCCCGGCCCTGCCCTGCCCAATGGCCTGACTTATCTCTCCCTTGCCCTCCCACCCTGGCTCCTTATCAGTTCCTGGAGGTGGGGCCGAGGGGCAAAGCCTCTGGCGCAACAGCCCCACAATGGAGGGATGAAGGGGCGTGTGCAGGGAGCCGCACCTTTTGTCCCCTCTCATGTGCCCACACCTGCCTGTGTGGGCAGATACGGAGCCTCAGGTCTGCAGCCTTGGGTCAGCAGTGTGGCATGGAGGGAATGGTTGGCCCAGGTTGGCACTGCTCTGGACCCCAGGCAGCAGAACCAGGCCAGCGTTGGAGGCAGTCTGCTGACTAGCTGTGCCCACTTGAGTGAACGGTCAAGCTTTCTGAGGCTTCGTTTACTCACCTGCAAAGTTCTGATACCAGAGGGCACATATTCTCTGTGCCATTAACAGGGGTTATTTTCCATTCCCTGTCCCCTTACCTTCCCGGTGGGTGGTAGCTCAGCTAAACCAATGGGGAAGGGGAAGCCTGGTCCTCAGACTGGGAAGTGTGATGTGGGACCTTGTATGGGAATCTCCTTGTGGGGCCAGGGTTGGGCCAGAAGCTGAGGGAGGGGGCAGCCCCCTACTATTTTCAGCGTCCCTCTTCACTGAGGCACTCAGGTGGGTGTTCAGGATTCCTGCATGCCACCTCTACAAACCACACTTCCTTCCCCAGTACCCTCCCCGCCCCCTGCTGCCCTGTGCCTGGGCTCAAAACTGCCCATCTCTGGTGGCCTCTTGCCCTACAGTGCTGATGAGTTTTAGGAAAACTTGGCGAGGGGGTTGGTAATAGCAGCTGATGTTTAATAGACCCATATGAAGGGCCAGGAACTTCCCAGGTGGCGCTAGTGGTAAAGAACTCGCGTGCCAATGCAGGAGACACAAGAGAGATGGGTTCGATCCCTGGGTCAGGAAGATTCCCCTGGAGAAGGAAATGGCAACCCACTCCGGTATTCTTGCCTGGAGAATCTCATGGAGAGAGTAGCCTGGCTACAGTCCATGGGGTCACAAAGGGTCAGACACGACTAAAGCGACTTAACACACACACACAAGGGCCTCATTTGATTGTGAGGATTGAGGCAAGGTACATGGATGACCTCATTCTTTCCCTCCATCCTTTTTCATGTCTGGAGATCAGGCTGTGGATCTCCGGGCTTGCCTGCTGTGTGGTGTTTTTTTTTTTTTTTTTTTTTTTTTTTTTTTTTTGCCTGTTCTCTGTTGATTTGAATGATTATCCTGGTCCTCTCCGTGTGCCCACCCTCTGTGACTACCACTATCTCATTATTTTCATTTTCAAAGTATTTATTTATTTATTTGGCGTGCTCCAGGTCTTAGTGGTGACCCATTGGATCTCAGGTCTTCCTTGCGGTATGCAGGAACTTCAGTTGTGGCTTGCGAACTCTTAGTTGCAGCCTGTGGGGTCCAGCTCCCTGACCAGGTATTGAACCTGGGTCCCCTGAATTGGGGGCGTGGAGTCTTAGCCACTGGAGCACCAGGGAAGTCCCCCCACCATCTCATTATGAGCCCCAAAATGTTGGTACCAAAGGAATCCTATTCGCCTAGACCCACATGGCACCGCCTTATCCCTGCCTCTCTCCTCTCTCTGCAGGGACCTCTGGACAGGACAAGATTCTGAAGTTACTCTTCCCACCTAGGACCCCTTTACAGACCCGGCTTGCTCCCCCACCCAGCCCTACCACCTGCCATTCCCTGGCCCCTTTCACCGCCCGCCCCCCTTGGGGCTCAGGGCATGGTGTGAAAGGCCAAGTGCTGAGGCGGGCACCATGGGTGCTGTGCCCTAGGGCCTGGGTGGCAGGGGGTGGGTGGCCTGTGGGTGTGCCGGGGGGGCCAGTGTGCCCACCCCAGTCTCTCGGCGTGCTGGAGGGCATCCTGGATGGAATTGAAGTGAATGGAACAGAAGCCAAGCAAGGTGGAGTGTGGGTCAGACCCAGAGGAGAGCAGGTAATGCGTTCGGCAGCTACGTCGTGCCAACTCCTAGGTAGCAAGCAGGGTCACCTGGCTGGGCCCAAGAGAGCTGAGCTTGGGCCTTTTAAGTACCTCTGTGGTGGGGAGTGGGGCGGGGGCATGAGGCCAGCCAGCCTGCTGCCTACCTTTGCCCAGGAGATGAGGTCATGTTCCCATGTGGCAGGGAATTAGGCACCTGGATGGAGAGATGCCCATTCTAAAAGGGGGAGGTGATGTAGAGTAATTATAGGCGGCAGGCACGTGGCCGCTCCCTGGATGGTGCTGGGCATCTCAAATCCTGCCCCACCCCCCATGGTGTCCCCTCAGCCACCCATACCTACGTCTGTGGAATCCAAACAGCCTTGCCATTTACCTCCTTCCCCTACCAGCTCATTCACTTCTGACTGCCAGTGTGCAGTCCAGAAGCCATGGTGCCTGTTACATGACATTTCAGGGCACGTGGTCCAGTAGCTGTTGGTCGCAGCTCACACTTATATTTGGAACCCATTGGGAGCCTCACAAGCTCTTCCTTGTTCATGGGCAAGGGCGGGCACTGCCATGGGGCTCCTCCCAGGAAGTGGAAGTGAATACCAGCTATGAAGATTTTGCTCCCACGTGGAGCAGACATCAGCCTTGCACACACAGCTAGGGATGGCTTACCTACCATCTGCAGTGTCTTTCAGAAGCCCAGAGGGTCTCTGCCTCTCCCATCAGCTCCAAGTAGCACAGAGCTCGGTCTCTGTTGGCGTGGTGCCCTGGGAGCTGGGTACAGCCTGTGCCTATGGCCAGGGAGAGGGTGGGGGATGGGTGCTCTGGGGAGCAGTGTGGCCGTTGCCTAGGAGACCAGATCCTGAGCCAGGAGGCTGGAGTCCTGGCCCAGCAAAGCCCTGGGGCCCAAGACTGGGTCCCTGGAAGGGTGGAGGAAGTGGATGGGGCTGGTGGTTGGGTAAGGGCAGTGGGGTATCCCCCTACCCAGTCCCCACCCCAAGGAACTCTGAAAGAGATTTAGCCTGTCATTGCATAGCTTTCACTTACAGCCTCTGTACCTCCCTGCCCAGACTTATTCTGTGGGTCTGGGAGAGTCTGCTCCTAATGCAGAGAAAGGCGGGAATGCCAGTTCCTGGTCCCCCAGGACTGCAGCCCCTCCCCGACAGCCTCCCCTCCCCCATGTCCATGCGCCACCTTGTGGCTATCCCTGGTACTGCACCCAGAGGCTGTAAGTCTGATTAATTGCTGAAGACCGCCAGCTCAGCTGGGGCCTCGTAGCTAGGCGGTCCCCCACACCCACCCCTCCGGAGACAGGAGGCAGATCTGACCCTCGAACCATTCTAGAAATTAGACAGGGGTAATCCCCAGGGTGTGTGGAACACAGAGCTATCTGTGACTGTGACCCTGGCCAAGGTCACTGTGTCAGTGTGTTGGTAGTTGCATCGGGCTCTGGAGGGAGGCTCTGCAACATGCCACACACAGGGTGGGTGTGAGAGGTTATACAATCCGTGCATGCATGTAGAAGGCTTATGTAACCTGTGTGTGCCGAGATTATGTAACACATATGTGGAGAGGCTGGCCACATACGTGTGCAGTGGCTGAGGGCTGCTATAATACCTTGTGTGGAGGGGCCCTGGGTCTTTGTTCTGGCTCTGATCCCGGCCCACTGTGTCAGCTGGCACAGGTGGGGCCTCAGTTTGCTGTTCTGTTAAATGGGGGCTGTAGACAGGGTGGCTTTGGGAGTCCCATCCTTTTCTCATGTTCTTGAGTCTAGGATCTGGTGGTCCACTGTGGTTATCTAGCATGTGTGCATGAGCTGAAAATCAAGTGACATGCTCGTTGCAGGGAGGGGCATGGTATTATTAGGTGCCTGTCTGGAGGGTTGTGAAACACGTGGGCATATCCTCGAGGTCGTATAACATTTGAGAAAGCCCTGAAAGTCACATCCACATAGATAAGAGACTGCGGCTTACGTACCATGCTTGGGTTTATACTGAAGGCAGCATAGTTGTTCATATGTTCATATGTGCTGGTTTTATGCTGCATATATTTGTGTGTATTCTAAAGCTTATATAGTTTTAAGCATGTCCTAAAGATTCATGTCCTAAGATTCTTTCTGCATATGTGTCAAACACTGAACGCTTAAATATGTGGGTGTTTTATAGATGATAGGTGTTTAAGGTTCTCTAATGTGTGTGTGAGTGTGTGTTGGGACTCTTGAACATGCTTGTGCCCCAGCCAAGCCCCTTATCTCTTGTTCAGATAACTGGACCCTTCTCGGTTTTGTCAGCTGACCTGAAGGTGGGAGGTAGATGGAGGGAGTCAGGCCTGAGGCATGACCTCAGCCTATTGGATACAAAGGGGGGCTGCCCAAGGTCTGCTCTCTGATTCTACCCACCTTGCCCCTATCCAGTACCAGGTCACCAGATGGAAAGCGAAAAAGAAAGAACGGCCAATGTTCCCTGAAAACCAGCATGTCAGGTGAGCCTGGCTGCGCATGCCCTTCCTGCCCACCCTCAACCCCTCCGAACCAGCAAAGGGCTCTTCTGGGGCCTGGGCTTGTACCAGCAGTTCCTGTGTCCCGTGGGAAGAGCCTCCTGGAGAGCTTGGGCTGGACTTGTCCGGGTGAGAGGTGTGACGTGGAGCATGCCCCAGCCATTGAGGATGGAGGAGGTCAGGAAGCGCCTCTTCCCTTCTCTTCTCCCATCACGCCCTTGCCTGAGGTGCCCAAGATGAGCTGCTGAGGAGACTTGCTTCTCCTTCTCCTGTGCCCCCTGCCCCTGGGATGCAGCAAGAGAGAAAAGCCTGGAAGGGGCAGTCAGAAGAACTGGATTCTCCATATTCTTAGGGAAGGGGATGAGCAAGATGACCTTGATATGTCTTCAGGACTCTGCCCGGAGACAGAGAACCCTTCAGGGAGGCTGGGCAAGGAAGGAAAAGCGGGGGGATGGAGAGAGTATAGAAGCCTCTCTGCTGGGGCCCCAAGCCATGCCTGCCTGCCTGCCTCCCTTCCTCCCTCCCAGGGTATATCCCTAGTTACCTGGACAAAGACGAGCAGTGTGTCGTGTGTGGGGACAAGGCAACCGGTTATCACTACCGCTGCATCACTTGTGAGGGCTGCAAGGTATGGACCAGCCAGCTCCTGCCCCTCCCCCACCACCTGAGCCCCCATCGCATTCCCTTTAAGTCCCTCAGCGCCTGGCCCAACAGACAGCTCTATAAATGTGTAACCTAAAGCTCACCTATTACATCGTCATTTCCCTTGTTCATTCATTCATTCGTTCGTTCATTCATAATCACTGCTCTGCCATTCACAGGCAAGATGTCTCATCTCTCTAAGCCTCAGTTTTTTCATCTATAAAATGGGTTAGGATAATGATAATACCTACCACATAACATTGTTGGGAGAATTAAATGAGATAATGCACATCGAGTATTTAAAACGGAGCCAAACAGAAAAGAAGCACTCAACCAATGTCTGCTTCCATCCATCCACCCAGTGTTTTAAGTGTCAGATGTGTAGTATCTGCCTTGACCTCAAGCTGCTCACAGCCTACCAGAGAAAGACTGATGGCAGCTGAAAGCAATATCACTGTTTTTTAAATGTAGTTCCTGGACCGCCTATAGTACTTGTTAAGTGCAGATCCCCAGGCCTCATCCCAGCCCTGCTCAATCAGAACATTTTGTGATGACTGCCAGGCATCTGCCTTGAAACAGGCTCCCCAGTTGCTTCCACTGCCCCTGATAGGTTGAGAACCATTGCTCGGGAGGGGCATGGTGGAGCCCAGAGGAGAGGATGGCAGAGGGGACAAGGTCACAGCTTGGGGAGACTTAATTAGATCTCACTTTGGGCATTTCAGCCTACATGGTTTTTCTAGAGTCATCACCTCCTAAAAATATGAGAGCTTTCAAGAAGCAGAAAGATTAAGAATACGTCAAGGCTTCAAGATCCTCTTTCTTGGTGTCAGTCAAGCCAAGACCACCACGAATGGAGAGTCCCCTGGCAGCGTTCCTGGAAGCATCACCAGCAGTATAGCACAGAACAGGGAGTCCCACCCTCAAGGCCCTCTGAGTCCCAGTGGGTCATCCCAAAAGGACAGAGATGTCTCCCCACTCCTAGAGAGTACGATGGTATAGGTTTAGAGTGAGGCCCAGGAATCTGTATTTTTGATCGGTACCCTAGGTGGATTTTAATTGCGCCCCAGAATCTGAGAGCTCAGACCTTGCGTCTCATACCTCAGGTCCAGTTCTGACTGTTTAGCCATATGACTTTGGGCAAATGGCTTAATCTTTCCAAGCTTCAGTTTCTTAGTCGGCAACATGGAGATAGTAACAGTTCCTACCTCATGGGGTTGACACCAGCGTTAAAGGTGATGATACATGAAAGAAAAGGTTTAGAAGCTCCTGGCTCATTGTAAGTATGCAGCAGACATTAGTCCTTCATATTATTACTACCATCTTGAGTCTTGAAGCTTTTTTCCTTTAAAACAAAGATTAAATTCCATATATAAAATTGAAAATTTTCTTTTCAAGCTATTACATACGAATCCACACCCAATGCCTTTTCTTGATTTTTTTGACATTCTCCCTGCCCCCTACCATTTCAGGAATTCCACCTGCTTAGGCAACAGGCAGCAGGTATGAGAATGGTTTGGGGCCAGTGTTGTTTTTAGAGTCGTTTAGCAAGATAGAAAATCAGGTATTAGCTGGATGTCCAAAGTGGCTGTTCCTTCAGGCCTCGTCATATTTCACACCCTCCCAGGCTCAGATCTCCCCATGGTCACCATCCTGACCTCTGCCACCACCGCTGCCCAGGTGCCCCGCAGGCAGTTGGGGGCTGAAGATGTGTGTTTCTAAGTCCTGGCAGAGCCCAGATGATGCTGGGCTTGCTCTGTCCAGAGGATGCCAGGTCCCCTCACTAATTGCCCTAGCCCCCCGCCCCCTGCCAGAGAGCTGCATGGTTGTTTCAGGAAGAGAAGACCGTGACCACACCATCTCTGTCTCCTGCCCCCCCTGCCCCCTGCCAGAGAGCTGCATGGTTGGTTCAGGAAGAGAAGACCGTGATCACACCATCTCTGTCTCCCTCCCCCCACCCCCACTCCAGGGCTTCTTTCGCCGCACAATCCAGAAGAACCTCCATCCCACCTACTCATGCAAATATGACAGCTGCTGTGTCATTGACAAGATCACCCGCAATCAATGCCAGCTGTGCCGTTTTAAGAAGTGCATCGCTGTGGGCATGGCCATGGACTGTAAGGGGATGGGTGGGCCCAACCGGGCCAGGCAGCTGTGGGTGGGGGTGTGTTCAGATGCGGCAACTCCCTTCCAGGGTACCCACAGGGTAGAGTGACCATCTGGGTCAGGCTGGTGATGGAATGAGTATTCTTGGTCCCTGCTGCCCTCATCTCAGAAGAAAAGGAAACAGAGGATCCCTCTATTGGCCCTGAGCATGGGCCCTGGTGCCTACTTGCCTTTTACCAGTCAAGGGCCTTTTTAGAGAGAGTTGTTGGGTAGAAATAAGTCCTGAGTACCCCACCGTGATGCAGTATCTCTGACTACCAGGGAAGGTGCTCCACTTCTCTGTGGGGTGAGAGAGGGCATCTTTCATTAGCTAGGGACTGGATGGCTCAGTCTTCCGGTAACCACTGTCACCTTCAGACCAGCACATGGTATCCTCTGGGTCAGCCCAAATCGGAGTTGTTGTGGTCCCAGTGATTATCATGATCTAGGTTGTGCCACCCCACTACTAGGGAAGTCATTTAGCCTCTCTTGGCCCTTCCCCTCAGTTTCTCCAACCTGAATACTGGGAAGAGTAGTTTCTGAGCAGGTTACAGAGTGTGCAAAGGGCATTGTGTCTGTTGTTGACAGTGGTTCTAGATGATTCGAAGCGGGTGGCCAAGCGCAAGCTGATTGAGCAGAACCGAGAGCGGCGACGGAAGGAGGAGATGATCCGATCCCTGCAGCAGCGACCAGAGCCCACTCCTGAAGAGTGGGACCTGATCCATGTTGCCACAGAAGCCCATCGCAGCACGAATGCCCAGGGCAGCCATTGGAAGCAGAGGCGGAAATTCCTGGTAAGGAGAAGGGGCATGAGTGAAGTGGCAGCCTGGTGGCCAGGAGAGGAGAGCGAATTCAGAGTCTTGCCTCCTCCAGGAAGCCTTCTTAGATTAGTCCACCCCAAAGCTGCTAGTCTGCACAACTTGGCATTTCTGATTTGTACACCTGTGTATGTGTCACTGCCTTTTCTATCTGATTGGGAGTTCCATGAGGGCAGGGCCTTGCCTCATCAAATTTTCAGTGAAGGGGGGCGGATCTCTCCTCTTTTTCTTGTCCCCAGTGACTAGGAGGCAGGGGCAAGGACACAGTCATGGAACAGTATTTTAGGGAGCCTCCTGGGTGCCACGCGTTGTTTTGGGCCCTGGCAAAACTGAATGCCAAGGAAATGGTCAGCGTGGGAGGAGATGGACAGTTGGTTGTATATGGTGGGGGAAGGCAGAGAACTTCTGATGGAGTGTGTCAGCGGGTGAAACAGTACACTGTAAGGAGCACCAGCTCTGAAACCAAGCACGTGTGTGTGTGTGTGTGTATGTGAAACAGGGATCAAACTGCCTGGGTTCAAATCCTGTTTCCACCACTTACTAGTCCCTTGACCTTGGGCTTATTACTTAGCTACACTCTGTCTCAGTTTCCTCATCTGTGAAATGGTGATAACATCAACTAATGGTGATAAGTCATGGTGACGATTAAATGAGATAATACGTGTAAAACACAGGGCCCAATTCCTAGCTACGTATTAGTCAAATATAGCTTCTGTTGTTTTGACATTACCGCTACTGGTGTCATGATCCTTGTTATTATTAGCCAACTTGGAGCTCTGGGCTAGCCTGTTCTCTGCCGCAAGGAGGGAGAAGCTCTAGGCCTGGGACGCAGAGTCCCTAGCTGCGGTGCCGCCCCCCACCCCCACCCCCCGGCTTCCCCAAGCTGCCTTGGAGCTCCCCCTGGTGGGCAGGGAGCCTCAGTGAGTGGGTGAAAGGGGTCTGCAGCCCCAACTGACCCCCGTCTCTCCCTCTAGCCGGATGACATCGGCCAGTCACCCATTGTCTCCATGCCAGACGGAGACAAGGTGGACCTTGAGGCCTTCAGCGAGTTTACCAAGATCATCACCCCGGCCATCACTCGCGTGGTGGACTTTGCCAAAAAACTGCCCATGTTCTCCGAGGTGAGTGATGGAGGGGAGGAGAGACCTGGTGTCACACTGGAGGGAAACCTTGGGCTGCTCCCCGGGTCACCCAGTCCCAGCTCATCCTTATCTGAAGCTCTCTGGACAGGAGGCAATTCCTATAGGTCAACACACCCAACACACACACATGCACACACAAGGTGAGCTGATTCCTAAAGAACTGACAGGCTCTATGGGCCCAGCCCTGCACCCTCAGCCTCTCCCTGCCCATCTCCCCACAAGTCTACATGACCATCCTGACTCTGGAGCTTCTTATTTTAAAGAGCACATACTCTGTAGAAAGGCTGCCCTGCTGGCTTGTGACCTTGGCCACGTAGCCCAACTCCCCATACCTCCCTTTGCTTATCTGCAGTGGGCATGGAGGTAATGACAGGACCTAACTCGGAGACCTAGCGGTGAGGCTTAGTGAAGCAGGGCCCGTCTGCCACCCAGTACAAGGGTAGCTGTCCAAAGCATGCATTCCCGGTCGGTGGTGGCCTTGAAGTTCCCAGGGGCACCTGCAGGGGACGCTCGTGGGGAGGGGCGTGCTGAGTGATCCTGTGGCTCTGCAGCTGCCTTGCGAAGACCAGATCATCCTCCTGAAGGGGTGCTGCATGGAGATCATGTCCCTGCGGGCGGCTGTCCGCTATGACCCCGAGAGCGACACCCTGACGCTGAGCGGGGAGATGGCTGTCAAGCGGGAGCAGCTCAAGAATGGCGGCCTGGGTGTCGTCTCTGACGCCATCTTTGAACTGGGCAAGTCACTCTCTGCCTTTAACCTGGATGACACGGAAGTGGCTCTGCTGCAGGCTGTGCTGCTAATGTCAACAGGTACCTAGCCTGGGCGGGTGGGCTCCGGAGCTTCCAGGGACCGAGAGTTTGGCTGGGCCCCAGGCTTGTCCTTCTTTAACCCCTCAGTCTCTCTGCTCCCCAAGCCCACCTCTCTGACCCCCACACTTATCCCTGTCCCCAGGCCCATCCTCTATCCACTGTCCCCTGGTCTGTCACCCATCCCCGCTCTGTTCTTCTCTCCAGGCCCATCTCTAGCTTCCTACACCCTCTTCTCCCATCCTGGCTTCCTTTTTCGCCTCTGCCCCACATCTCTCTGTCTCTTATAGTTCCCTTTGTTCTCCACCCCGAATCTGTTCCCGTCCCCCAACTTTGCCCTGCGGTTGCCCCCTACTTGCCCCCTGCCCCGCAGAATGCGTGTCTTTCTCCATTCTCCCCCAGCCTCTGCGCCCACCCCCCACCCCCCTCTCAGCCTCGTGCCCCTCCTTCCCTGCAGACCGCTCGGGCCTGCTGTGTGTGGACAAGATTGAGAAGAGTCAGGAGGCGTACCTGCTGGCGTTCGAGCACTACGTCAACCACCGCAAACACAACATTCCGCACTTCTGGCCCAAGCTGCTGATGAAGGTGACTGACCTCCGCATGATCGGGGCCTGCCACGCCAGCCGCTTCCTCCACATGAAAGTCGAGTGCCCCACCGAACTCTTCCCCCCACTCTTCCTCGAGGTCTTTGAGGATCAGGAAGTCTAAAGCCTCAGGCGGCCAGAGGGTGTGCGGAGCTGGTGGGGAGGAGCCTGGAGAGAAGGGGCAGAGCTGGGGGCTGAGGGAGAACCCCCACACCTCTTCTCTCCTCCCTCTCGTCCTTGGATAGATTCAGCTCCCCACACACCCCCACACTGCCCTGTCCCTCCTCAGAACCTCCAGCCCTGGGACAGGGCAAACAAATGAACTTGCTATGAAAAGGACAGTGTGGGAGGCTGGGGGGTGGGGGGACGGTGTCCTGCAGTTCCCAGGACCTTGTCCTCTGAGAAGGTAGGAGAAGGGAGGGAGAACTAAGAGCGGATAAGCCATCTTGACCGTAGGGGAGAGAGGAATGTGGGGTGGGGGCAAAGGCCCTCACTCACCCCCTACACACACACAAGAGAGAGCCCCCTCGCCCAGTCTCTTGGCCTAGGTCCCCCCTCCAGGCTGAGGGCCTCTCTGCTTCCCCAGATGCCTGGTGCAAAGAAAGGCTTGGCTTGGCTCCTCCCCTGGAGGTTAAAAATTACAGTCATTCTAACTGCACTTTGGAAACCAGGCAAGGGGAGAAGATAAATGAAGAAATACTAGACAGAGGAAAAAAGAGCGAGCGACTGATAGAGAGATGATATTAAGTTATTAACTGAGGCTGGCCAGAGGGGAGGACCCCCCCCTCCCACCCCCGAGCACTTTGAGAGCTGCCCCCTCCTCCCCCCAAATCAGAGAGAACTGCCCCCGCCCCACGTCAGGTCCCCAAGGGTAGGGCTGCCATCAGAGCTGTGAGTTAACACAACAGGGTCCTGGCCACGCCCCCTTGCCGTGCCCCTCCCTCCGTGCCCTTTGGCCCCCCCCCGCCCCCGCACTCCCTCTGCTCTCTGCCACTCGTGCCCGCTGAGTTCCATCTACCTCTCACTCTGGATGCCAGCTGGCCCCTCACCAGCCTGCCCTGCTGCCCGCACAGCTCCCCTTTCAAGTGCCCAGCCCCGGGGGCCTCTCCCCGTCACCCCCCTCCTCCTCTGCACCTTGGCACCCACACAGGAAAAACTGTGGCTCAAGCTCCCGCCCTCCTCACATCCTGCAGTATTAGCTCCGATCCAGATGCTGCTGCCCCGGGGCGGGGGTTGGGGGGGCGGCGTGGGGGGAGGCGAAGGGGATGTGCGTGAGCTTCTCCCAGAGCCTGCCCCCCCGCGGGCCCCTGTTCCCATCCGTCTGCTGGGCTCTCTCTAACCCCTGCCCTCCTTTCCCGCTCCCACTGCACTACCCCAGACTCTGGGCCAGCGGGCCCCGGAATGGGGGTGCTTAGATCAGTGGCACTTAGTCAAGGCCCTGGTGGGGAGGGCGGTTGGTGCTCCGCCTTTTTCCTTTGAAGCTCTTTAGGCCAGCCGCCCCTGTACCCCTGGGACCCCTTCCCCCTCTTCTTTTCTCTAATTCAGGGACTTTGGCTTGAGCCACCTCCCACCCTCCTGGTGAGGAGTGCTCTGTTGGTCTGCACTTGGGTGAGCTGCCCTCCTCCTCCCTTCTTTGTCAGCGCCCACTCCGCAGGGAAGAGAGGGAGGGAGGAGGTAGCCCTCTGAGGGTGGGGGCGGGGAGGGCGGGAAGGGACAGAGCAGACCGGAGGGCCCTGGGCTCAGGGCTGCATGTCGGCAGGGATGGATGGGTGGACATAGATGCCCCCGGAAGCCATGGGGAATGGGGCGGGGGGCGGGGGGCGGGGTGCCAGGGCTTCCTGCGCTTTGCACTATTGGGGCAAAATGTCTTAAGCAGTGGGGAACCTGCCACCCCACCCTGACCCTCAGCCTGCCACAGCCCCCTCTACACATGCACACACACGCGTGGAAACACACACACAGACACACACACACCCCCACACGGGAAGGCAATGCTATGCTGCCCATCAGGGCATGTCCTTTCCCCACTGTTCAGGTGTTGGGACGGGGTGGAGGGCCTGGAAGAGCAGCGCTGTCACCTGTGCATGTGCCTGCCCCGCCCCCTTGGGCTCTTGGGCTGCCCGTGCTGTCTTTGTCTGTCTCGATTCCCATCTCTCTCCTGGGGTACTGATTCCTATATTACTCCAGTCCCATGGATAAGCCCTCTCATACCCTCCTCCCACCCCTGGGGGCCCAGTGGAATTCCTGACCTGTCTGCTGTCTCCCCGTCCCTCCATCCCCACTGCCACGTCTCCATTCCCATTCTCAGCCATGCACATGGTGGAGAAAAGGCCTCCAAGAGGCTTGGCCTCTTACAGGCACTTGGGAAACCCTCCCTACCCAGAATGTGTGAGCAAGTACACATGGTGGGGGAGGAGCTGGGGGACTCAGGAGTGCCACGCACCTGCTCTAGAGGGGCAGCCAGCCGTCCCAGTCCCTGCTTTGGAAGTGGGGGACAGGGCCCTCTCCTGGGGGCCATTGGTGCTAATGAGGGGGATGGCCTTGACGTGGGTGCTTAGCCTGCCTTCCCCAGTATTGGCCCGGAGCACTAGGGCAGGCAGAGTGGGGGCAGCAGGTGCAGTATTGGTGGGAGGAGGGGGCCAGGCCAGGACAAGGGGGTGCCAGAGCCATGACCACTACCCCGCCCCCACCACCCGCCTCTCCATCTCAGTATTCCCCCTCCCATCACTCATAACACACATACCTCATCCAGCCTCCTCCCTGCTCAGACCTGGGGAGGGTGGGGGTGGAGGAGCCCCTACCCCTTCCCCTGGTGGCGGGTCTACAGGGCTGGGAGAGGGCGGGGCGTGTGGCAGAGACACCGTCCAGAAGGGGGACAGTAATTCCTGCCCTGGGAGCTCCTGGGTGGGAGGAGGGGACAGTTCCCTGCAGGCGCTACTGAATGTATGAGAAGCTGGTGCTGGGGTGGGGGGAGGGGGGCTGTGGCCAGAAACAGGGAAGGCGGTAGGTCCCTTCCCCGGGGAGGGGTTGGGGCCAGGAGGGGTGACCTGGGGGCTCCTACTCCTGCCCCACGCTGACAATCAGTATGTCTGTTATGTGCGATTTTTCACCCCGTTGTGTTTTGGGTCAGGATTTTAAAGAAAGATATTTTTATGGTAATTGTTGCTCGTCTATTTTACTATATATTTATGTAATAAATATATGATGAAAATAACCCCCTTGGGCACCCCCCCCCTTAGACTTGCGTGCTGTTTCCCTGTATCCTCCCATCTGCTGGCAGAGTACCCACCCCCAGACTGACCAGATGGAGAGGAGTGCCCCCAGCCCTGGCCATACTCCCACCACCCCCTCTCCCTCCCCCTCCCCCCAGAACGAGCACACACCACAGAAGCCAGCTCAGCTGTGAACTATTGGATTTGAGACAGGAATAGAACAGATCGGGGGGCTAGAGAGAAAGAGCGGGGTGGGGGGGAGAGTGGTTTAAATAGGGGAGGCTGGGGAGGTGCAGTGATGGGGGAGGGAGGCAGGTATTTACAAGAAGGCTCGGGGGGGCCAGAGGCTCATCTTGGAATATTTTATAACAATATAAATAAGATTCTGGTTTGCTTTTCCTTTTCGTCTCGTAAAGGAGAGAGAAGTGCAGAGTTCGATTCTGTACAAGGGGGCAGCGGCGGAAGGCCGGCCGGGCGGGTCACTGGGCGTCCACCCGGAAGGACAGCAGCTTCTCGGAGTGCATGTTGTTCAGGGTCCGCAGGTCCGGCAGCTTGAGCAGCAGCTTGGTGAAGCGGGAAGTCTCCGAGGGCCGGTTCTTCAGCACCAGAGCCCGAAGAGCCCGCAGCAGCGTCTCCTGGAGCTGCTCCACCGAAGCGGAATTCTCCATTCCCGAGCGGTCTGTGGGGAAGACGACAGCAGTGAGGCAGACTCCCTGAGCACCTCCGACTCTGACGAGGAGGAGGAGGACGCGGAGGTCTGCGAGGACGCAGCGGTGGCCACGCAGCCTCTCCCTGAAGCCCCTCAGAGGGCTGACGGGGAAGGAGCGGGAGGGGGAACATAACGCCCTCCCCCAGGCCCTGACCCGAGAGCAGGGGATGCCTGCAAACTGGGAGCCCAGGCTCAGCAGGGCCGGCCCCCCTCCCGCCCCACCAGGCCACTCTCCTTCCCTGAACAGGCCCAACAGGGCCCTGGCTCCCCCACTGCTCCGTGCTCTGTGGTTCCCTCTGCCTGGGACGCCCTTCCCCCCTCCTCTGCCTGGCAGTATCTCTACTTGTCCTTTGAGGCCCCACTCGAGTGTCACCTCCTTCCCCAGCTCCCCAGGCAGAAATAGTTGTGTGTGCTCCCAAAGCCCTTGGTTCATGCTTCTACTGTGACACTTATCTCACTGTTTTATAATTAGTCGGGCATGAGTCTGTCTCCTGAGCTAGACTGTGTCTGAATCATGTCTGTATCCCCAGTGCCCGGTGCAGGGCCTGGCCTAGAGTAGGTACTCCATAAAAGGTGTGTTGAATCGAACTGCGTCCGCCTCCTCCCCGGTTAGGCTCAGGCGAGAGCCTGACCTACCTGCAGAGACGAGCACCACCGCGGTGAAGAGGCCCAGCTCCTCCTCGGTAAGCGCCAGGGAGTTGAGCTTCTCGCTGAAATCGAACATGGCGTTGAGCAGGTCCCCCATGCCCATGGCGCCGAGCTCCTGCAGGCTGTAGGTGGTGCGGCTCAGGAACATCACTGTCTGGTCCTTCACGTTGAACAGCGACGCAAAGCGCACCATCAGCACCTGAAGCGGGGACAGGCGTCCTGGGTGGGGCGGAGGACTTGCCAAATCGCCCCTACCGCTTTCTGAAGGGGTTACCGGTGCTGCCTTGGATTTCTTAGCCAAGCCTGGGCTAGTTTCTGAGTGGTCAGTGAGGCGGGGCGGGTGGAAGGATGGGGAACATCCCACTGGCTTTGGAATCCAGCAGGCCTGAATCTGAGTCTCAGCCTTGTCACTCCCTGTGACCCTGGGCAAGACCCTTCGCCAAAGTGAATCTGCTCATGCCTAGAACAGGGGGGCGGGGGTAGCGCTGTACTCTGAAGTGTTATTTTACGGTAACAGGATATGATTAGACCCCATTTGAGATGACAGAAGTTCCGGCCATCCACAGGCAGGACTGGGTGGGATTCTGCCCCTTCCTAATCACTCAAGAGTTGGGTGGCCCCTGCCCACCCCAGACCCCCATTCTGCTGGATCCTTCCCAAGGTCGAGAGCAGGGAGCACAAACGGTCACTCACCTCAAAGGTACCAGCCTTAAGCAGGGTGACCTGGTCGTGCTGAGAAAGATCACGGAAGCCGGGGATGTGCTTGGCAAACTCTACCACCTCCCGCACAGCGGGCGTGAAGCTCATGGAGAAGTCCTCCCAGATCTCCTGCACAGTTCGCCCGCTGCGTCCATGAGGGTACATGTTCATGGGACATGCCTGGAAAAGGGAAGGATTTGAGGAAGGGAGTATGAGCCAGGCCAGCTCAGATGGGCTTCCCTAGCAGGGCTGGGCCCCAGATTCTGCCTGGGTTAGCATTGTGGCCTTGGAGGATGGGTCTTTCAGGTAAAGCAGCAATCAAGTGCCAGGTGGAGATCAGGGTTTCCCAGGCAGAGTGCCTCCTGCAGGACTGAACATCCTCTCTGCACTTAGCCTCCACGCACACCCAGGGACCCCATGCTCAATCCGTTCTCCCCAGCCCCCTGCCCACCTCACCCCCAGTGCCCTCACCAGCAGAACATTCTTGGAGTTGCCCTGCCGTGGACTGTTGACAGGGGCTTCACCTTCTGGGGCTGGGTACATGTGGGTGGGGCACAGGCGGTGCCCATTGCTGTTGGGCTGGTGGCAGCTGTGGTGGGCAGTGCTGGGGGGCCAGGGGGGAGGGTAGGAGGAGGAAGCCTGGCGTAAACTGTTCAGGGCCTCGTTGTGACGCTGGGCGGCCATGATGTTGTTGTCATTGGGGGCAGGCGGGCAGCCCTGACTTTCCCAGCGATGTGGGGTGGTGGCCGGACGGTTGCCCGAGGCATGGTTGGCATTGAAGTTGCCAGGTGAGGTGCCCAGCTTGTCATGGGCGTAGGTGAAGATCTCGCGGTGGGCCCGGGCTACCTGGGATATCACATCCTCCACTGTGGGCTCAGGACTTGGGGATCGAGGGGGCGTCAGCTGCTGGGGGAACTGGGAGAAGCCCACCAGGGGTGAGGGGGCAGGGGCTGGAGGCGGTGAGGGGCCCACGGGGCCCGGGGTGGGGTGCTGGGTGGGTGGGTTCTCCAGCGGGCACTGGCTGCTCAGCTGGTTGTTGGCCAGGTTCATGGCGCTCTGCATCTCGGCCAGCATCCGCTGCTTCTCTCGTTTGGGGATGCGCCCAAAACGCACAGCTGTGACAGGATGAGAGCAGTGTCAGGAAGTTCTCACGCACACTCACATGTTTCTCTTCCTTCCTCCTGAAAGGGCAAGCCCCCGAGGACTTGGGGTTCCATATCAAAACTAAAACCCGGAAGACCACACCCATGGAGGGGGTTTTCCAAGTAGGGCTTGTGGTAGGAGGGGATCAGAGGGACTAAATGGGAAAAAAGTGTGTGTTTACCCAAGCCCTGATGAAGTATAGCCACCGCCTCTGCAAACAAGACGCATAGTCTTGGGACTTTTTAAGGGAGGGACTAATTCAGAAAAACCTCAAATGGAAGAAAGGGGGAGGGCGTGGGGAAGCTGGCAGGGCCCTGGTGCTGCCTCACCGTCTCGAGACATGCCCACGGAGAGACACTTCTTGAAGCGGCATTGCTGGCAGCGGTTACGATTGATGCGGACGATGGAGCAGTTCTCATTTTTCAGACACCTCTTGTACTGGATGTTCTGCTGGATGCTCCGACGGAAAAAGCCCTGTGGAGCAGGGCAGCGAGTGAACATCCCGGTCCAGGCCAGGCCTATGTGTCCTGTGGGAGAGGGTCACCTGCCCCCGCCCTCCCCTCCTCCCTGCCTCACCTTGCAACCCTCGCAGGCATGCACGCCGTAGTGGAAGCCTGAGGCCACGTCCCCACACACCTTACACAGCAGCACCATGCCATTCAGCTCTGCGGGAAGAGAGGGGAGGCAGGTAGACGGGGGCTTCTTAGTGGCCAGAGAGCTGGAGGTGTTCTGGGCTGGAAACTGGGTGAGGGGGAAGAGCTAAGGAGGAACTTTAGTATCTAGGGGGCACTTGGATGACCAGACGGGGCCAACAGCAGCTGGTGTAACTATAGGAGAAATCCCTGAGTAGGCCCTGGAATAACTGTCACATGAAGATCAACTCCCCGCCTAGACGGGGACACCTTCCCTTCCCCCAAATCAGCTGGAAACTGACTCACTGGTGATGTTGCTGGTGCTTTTGCTGGGAGACACTCGGTTACTGTCTTCCAGGGCCACCTGTAGACCCCCTGGGGGGCTCCCATTATAGAAGGAAGAGGACGACGATGACGACGAGGAAGATGAAGAAGAAGAAGGAGAACCATCATCACCCAAGCTGGGCGGAATGCTCCCAAAAGAGCGAGCTGGGTCCTGGGTGAGGGAGCCAGTGGGTGATGGCGGGAAGTAGGTGGGGCAGCCCTGGGTCAGGGACTGGAAGCTGCCATTCGAGCTGTCACTGTAGAGGGATTCAGGGCTGGTGCGGTTTGGGGAGCAGCCACTGGAGCCAATGTAGGTGATGACGCCACCTGGCAGGAGAACACAAGGGGAAGGGGTGTCAGCTGTTGGGCGCTCACAAGTTAACCATGTGGCGCCCCTTCTCTTGGACTCCCCAGAAGAGCCACAATAAGCAATTCCCCAGCATAAACCAGACATGGCCATCCAACCCCTGCAACTCTTGGCAGGTACCTCCTGCGTCTGCCTTGCGTGTAAGGTACCTCCCTAGAGGCATGACCTCTGCGATGCTCTGTGGCTATCTCACGTATGTACTGCTCCCCCCACCCCCGCCCTGGATGACTTCCTTTGGAGTATCAAACGCAGCTAATGACTTAATTGTCAGCAGCTGACCTGGGGATGGGAGAGCAGCTGAAAACCATTCATAATGCACAAGCTTCAAGAAAAACAGCCCAGCTGCTGATTTTAATACCAAGACCATTCCAGGGATGAGACCATGGAGGGGCAGCTAGCCAACAGTGAGAACAGAGGTCTTACAAGAATAAAACAATTACATTCTCTCAAAACTGAGAAACATCATCTCCAAAGGTACTGTTCCCCTGGCCTCCAAAATCAAGTCAGAGTAGACTCTATCTCTGAATCCAGGAAGGGCTTAACAGTATGAACTGCAGGGGGTGGAAGTGAAGAACAAACTGTCCAGCCTAAAGCTTTGGAATTCCCCCTTCCAGATCTCTCCGCCTGGTGACAATGACCTTGGCTCTCTAACCATACAGGGACTTTGGCCCTCTAGTTATATTGCCAACCAGATGGCCGAATTCCCATTGCATTAGCAGAATAAAAAAGCAACCTGTCTGCCACACCTTTGCCAAGTACCTCGCTTGGCCTGCCATCGGTGGGGTGGGAGAAGGGAGGATCCCAGGACACGTGTGAGCCGACACAGGCCATGCCACCCTGTCTACAGAGGCATGTCTTGCTCACCCACTGACACACACTAAGCTGGGCAGGGCCACCCTAAAATAGCTCAAGGTTGGTCAGGGTGAACCCAGTTCCCCGTAAAACAGTTGCACAACAGATCAGCTCCTACAGTTTCAGGGTTGAGGTGGGGGGATGGGGTATTTATTTGGTGGTAAATGAACCTGACCTAGTTCAGCCATCCCCAAAAGGAAGTAAGACTTTTCATCCAAAGAGACTTCCAACCTGGAAGTGAGGGGCACATTCAAGAGTCTGGTTTTAGATCTGGTCTGTTTGGTCTACCACCAACAACTTGATTTGTGATCTAGAGGAAATCAACTCCCTTCTCAGAGCTCCAGTTTTACTTTCAGTGGGGAAGAAGAAAGAAAAGATGAAAAGAGACTTTATATCCTTTCAGCTATGTTTCTGAGATCTAGTTGTTTTGGTGGTGGTGGTTTATTCCCTAAGTCGCATCCGACTCTTGTGACCCCATGGACTGAAGTCCGCCAGGCTCCTCTCTCCATGGGACTTCCCAGGCAAGAATATTGGATTAGTTGCCATTTCCTTCTCCAGGGTATCTTCACCACCCAGGGATTGAACCCTGGTCTCCTGCATTGCAGGCAGATTTTTTACCGACTGGGGAAGTCCTTAGGAGGCAAGTTGCTTCTTGTTTGGTGGGGGAAGGGGTAAGAGTGTTGGCAGGACTAAGAAAAGAGATGCTGGGGAACAGAAGGAATTTGTATTGTGGAGAAGCTGACTCTATTATAGGCGGTACGGTGAAGTAGGTGCAAAGACAATAAATTGAAAAGGAGTGAGGAGAAAGCTAGATGTGAGGTCTCTTTGAGGAGTGTAAACATGAGGCCACGAGAGGTCAGGGATGACTCCGTCTTACTCTGCATCGGTTATGGCGAGGGGGGCCCCCCCTCCGACAAGCGGACAGGAAAAGGAGGCAGGCGGGGGCGGTGAGTCAGCCGAGCTTCACCCAGATCTCGGCGGGGCGGGGCGGGAGCCGGGCCCTCAGCCGGCCTCACGTCCCAGCTCCACGTGTGACTCTTGCACGTGGCTCCCCAACGAGGAACCCCAGTACCCGAGGCTCCGCCCTCTCCACTTCCGTCAATCGGGAGCAGTAGCCCCGCCCCCGTCCCGCCCCTCCTCGGAGTCCCGGGTCGGGGTCTTGGGCTGAGTTCCTAACACCAGCTAGGTCGGGACTACAAGGGGAGGAGAAAAGGGATCACGCGTTGCCGGGGCAACCGGGGGGCGGAGCTCATTATGTAACGGGGCCGGGAGGCAACCACCAATGGGGTGGCGGCCACGGCTTCTGCTGAATGAAAACAAACGCAGCACGTGGGCCCGGCTCTGCAGCCATGTGAGCGCTCCGGGCTGCCTGGGCGCTCTGGGTGTCCTCCCTGGGGCAGAGCACCACTCTTGGGGCTCCTCAAGTGCCACTCCCTACTGTAACTGAGGGTTCCCCAGTGAGATCCGACCCATTTCCCCAGTTCCTCCTGCCTGGAACCCGGGTCGCCCCTCTGCTTCTCAAGTTCCTGCGGACTCTGGGGGAAAAGGGAGATTGGAAGGAGGGGGTCCTCCTTCCGAAAAGTCCAGGCATGCCACAGCTGCAGCGGGAGGATAGATGGGGGCGTTTCAGGGCACTGCTCCAAAACTCCCAGTTCCTCTAAACTGCTCATCTCACCACACGTACCCACTTTCTCCATTCCCTCCTTCCCAGCGATCTGAGTCCTTCTAGCTAAAGCGAGCTTTGGGAGTCTGAAGGGTGACGGTGGAGCGCCCCCGGGCGCATTCCCAGGCCGAACAACCCGCTGTGGAAATCCCAGCCTCATGTCCATCACACTAGCAAATCCCCTGACCAAGGGAGTCCCCAGTCCCTTTCAAAGTTCCTCTTGTTCTAAGACGTAGAGGAGAGGAGACAGTGACAGAGAAAGAATGATGGTAGCAAAGGAATCTTAGTACCTGTGTTATTGTTCGAGTCCAGGGTCGTCATGTCTTCACTGGCTGACAGCGGTCATTCAAACTGGACCTTGACACAACTGGAGGTTACAGTTGCAGCTGTCGCCCCCTGGGCACTGGCCGAGGGCGGGGAGTGGACCCCCGCAGCTCACGATCAAGATCCGAGGCACTCTGCAGCAAGGTCTTGGCGGGGCCGGACTGCAGCCCTGCAGAAGGGTAGGACGCTGAGGCACCGAGGTCTGCTTTGCATGGGAAGAGCAGAGAGAGTGTGGGGGAAGGGGGCGGAGGGAATCGGCTTGCAGTACTTCTGGCTAGAAGGTAGCAAGGAGGGTCGGGTCTCTGCAGTGCACGGGGTGCCACTGCCTGACGACTCCGCAGCGCTGCAGGGTTATCGAATCTGGAGCTCCTTGTGCAAAAGTCCCACAGGGAGAGAGGCTGCAGTCAGGAAGTAAGTAGGTGATGGGGAGAAACAGGGCACCCAGGCGCAAAGAAGCGAGACGTGTGCCCTGCTACGTTCCCTCGGCAGCAATATTTCACTCTGCCAATCTCAGCCGCCTTTTGCCCCAGCCTTTTTCCCTGGGACAGAGGGCTCTGCGCAGGCGCCAGCAACCCAGGGTTCCCGGGCCGCACGCGGCACTGGAGCAGGTACCATGTGATCCCAGGGAGCGCCTCGTGCCCCAGTGACACACTTTTCCAGCAGCAGGCACGTTGAGCTCGGTGCGCCTGCGTTAAAGCCGAGGCTGTCGGGATATGTAGTCCGTTGGCAAAGTGGGCGGACTGCGTTTATTTCCCCATTTCTGCTTGCACAAGCTCTTGCTGGAAACCGGGGAGGAGCTGCGAGCCTTGTGGGGTGGAGTGCGTTGTAGAGTCAGTGTGGCGTGTTTGGAAAGCTTGTATGGCAGAGGCATGTGAATTCCTGGGGAGGGACTGACAAGCTTGGCGAGCGGCTCCCTGGGAGATCAAAGCTAACAGCCCCTTTCTGCAAATCTTGCAAACGTGAGGGCTTCACGTGATTGTGGGACTGACCCTGCCTTGAGGTTAGTGATGACACGAGAGAGATGATAGAGGAGGGAGATAGCCCCACCGTCAGGAGCTTAAGCTCCTGCAGAGCCAAGTCCTGAGAGGGAAAGGAAATGTGACCCCTTTTGCGTTCTACTCCCCTTTGGGAAAGGAGTTGCCGTGGGGTTGAGGATGCCCCTGGGGACTCCCTGTTTGCTTATATGCCACCACCCCACCCACTCAAGGTGACTTTGGGGTGAGTCATTTCCCTTTGTCTAGGAAATAAAAAGGACAAGGGAAGGAAACTGTGGTGAAAGTGTTTTGAGTTCCTAAAATAAAAGGACCAGAGGTAAGGCAGGGCTTGGGGGCAGAGTTACACCCCCCCCAGCTCCACCCCCCCAGTGCTTCAGGGTAGTATGGGTTTCACATGGGAACACAGAGATCATCTTAACCCCCTATCCTTTACTGATGAGAATGAGGCTTAGAAGGAATGACTGACCCAAGGTCAGACATCCATTGCTAGTTTTATTTGCTTACCATCAGGCAGTGAGCTGACATGAAAGTGAAACATTGAACAGGGATTAAAAACAGCCAGCATCTCCCTTCAGAGGAGCAACTCTACCCCACTGGTGAAAATGGGTCTCCAGTGGGGGTCTATCATGTTTTTTTGGTTTTGGGGTTTTTTTGGCCTTACCATGCAGCTTGTGGGATCCCTGACCAGGGACTGAACCCAGATCCCTGGCAGTAAGAGCTCAGAGTCCTAACCACTGGACTGCCAGGGAATTCCCCAGGTCTATACAGTTTGAGGACTTGGGTGTGGGGAGAGCTGAGAGCCTCTTCTTGAAGCAGCCCAGTGAACCCGCGCCACCTGCTGCTTCCTGCTAATCCCTCCTCAGCCCCACTGCTCCTAGGGAGGGTTTTGTTTGTTTGTTTTTTGCACACAGGAAGCCCTTCCCCACTTGTTCACAGACCACTCCTGGGACAGCACTGATGGATGCCTGGACACAGCCATCAAAGAGGTAGAGAAAAGGAGGCGTGTGGACCCCGGGGAAGGAGTAAGCTGGGTGGTGAGGAAGTGAGTAAGCAGAGAGGACTGTGATGGTGACTGAGTGAAGGCAGCTGGGCAGCTGGCCTGACCACTCGCTGACCCTCTGCCTCCCTGGGGAAGACAGATGGACTCCCTACAACGGCCTGGGATTTAGCTTTGTTCCCTTGCCCCCGAGAACAGTGGGAGAGAGAAGGCAGTGGGCTCTTCGCTGGGCTGCCCGGGCCCCTTGGCCCAGAGCTGGGAAGCTTCAGCAGAGCGTGGGAGGGCCTGGGAGGGGCTAGGACAAACAAGGAAAGAGGCTTTTCAGGAAAACTTGGTTCTGAACTTGGCCTCCACCCCCTCTCTCTCCTCCCTCAGGGCCCTGGGGGGAAAGTTGGGGGGTGAGCTGCCTGTGGGCACTGCATGCTCTCTGTGCCCTTCCTGAGTTTCCATCAGAGCCAGGACCCGAGCCCAGGGACCTGCCACCGCTGGATTCAAAATCAGGGACCTTGGCATGACCTCTAGCTCCCCACCAGCCTCAGCACTCCCACAGGCACACTCCCCTTAGTTGCCCTGTTTAGCACCGACAGCTGTTTGCTGCTGTGGTCACCCTGCCCACCCCTTGTTCTGCTTGCTGGGGTTTATTCCGATGGGGGGAGGGCCAGGGGTCAAGACTCCCTCCCTGAGTTTACAGCCAGTGAGAGGGAGGAGGAGGCAGAGACAGCATGAGCTGAAATGCAGTCAGCCTAACTCTTGGCAAGAAGCTGGGTTGTTTTGCAGTCTGTGTGAGGTATGAAAGCGGAGGCTGGGAGGGAGGAGGCAAAGAAGGGGGGTTCCTTCTGGGTCCTCCTTCCTCTGAACTTCTTACAGGGCCCCTCCTTTTCTCCCTGACAAGTAACTTTGGGATCTTCCTTCTAAAACTGGAGAGAAGGATACAGAACATTAAAGAGGCAGGATTCTCCCTTTGTTCCAGAAGCTTCTATCTATCCACCCTGCTCCTCTCTCTGTCAACAGCTGCTGGGAGAAGGACACAGACTATGGGACTCAGAGCCACCAAAGGGAGGGAGAAAAGGCTGGGTTGTCTGGCCTTTGGGGACCTGTAATAGAATCTAGCTTTGGCCTCTCTTTCACTTCAGCCTTGACCTAAGACAACAGGTGTATATCAACATGGCCTCCCACCCCCTCCTGCCAGCTGGACATTCCAGTTCTCTTCTACACACACACAGACACACACACACATGTGTGTGCTCATGCACCATATCTCCCATAGCCAAATTCAGCCCAAGAATTTGGACCCTTAATAAATAGTGCTCAGATGGAATCCAAGACCTGGCACAGCAAAGCACATCTGGCTCCATATTGCCCACACTTCTGCACAGATTCCTCAGAGTCTGAGATTCCAGACTGACCTCACCATTTAGGGACAGAGTGGGATCCCCTATGTGTGTGTCTGTCTGTTTCCAACTATGTCTTAAATTCTCTTGGATTTCTTTGATTTGGGGAAGATAGCAGAGATAGGGGAGAGGAAAGGAAAACAGTGAGAGCTCTAAGCTCTGGCCTGAGTGTGTGTGTGTGTGATTGTAGAGACTGCATGTCTGAGTGTATAAGTGTGAATGGCAGGAGTTGTGTATGGATGTGTGTGTTTGATCCAAGACCTTTTCTCCTCATCAATAGGACACTGGGTAACAGGACAACACCCTGTGCAAATCCTGGGTGGCCTAAATCTTGGGCCTGCTTCTTGACTGAATGAATGACTGATTGACTGAGGAGGGTGGGTCTTTGCTGGAAACCAGGTCAGGCTTCAGTGGGTGTCTTCCTCCCCCGCCCCTTTCTCACCGAGAGAACCATTGCCCCTGGGAAATAACCTACCTGCCCAAGACAGAAACCCTGGGAATGCCCCACACCCAGGCAGCAAGCCCTGCACTGGGAGAGACTCATTCCCAGCCCTCCTAGATCTTTGTTCCTGTTCTCTGAAAGGCCAGCCAGCTTTCCCTAACCCACCCAGAGCTTTGATGTCTTGTGGAGAATTTCAAGAGAATGAAGTAGGAGGGTTAAAGTCTGAGTTAATTTGTTCTTTGAGGGAGATGGAAAAAGGGAGGGTGAGGTATGATCCAGAGCTTGCTTCATGGATGTGTTTTGCCTCATATTCTATCTTTACCTCAGTACTCCTTTTTCCAAGGAAAGGGAATAATAAACAGGTACTGAGTACCAACTGTAGGCTTCCCCAGTGGCACTAGTAGTAAAGAACCCACCTGCCAGTGCAGAAGACATGGGTTCGATCCCTTGGTCGGGAAGATCCCCTGAAGGAGGGTATGGCAACCCACTCCAATATTCTTGCCTGGAGAATCCCATGGACAGAGGAGTTCATGGAGTTGCAAAGAGTAAGACACAACTGAAGTGACTTAGCATGCACACCAACTATATGCCAGGCACTGGGCTAAGTGTATTACACACATTATTTCATTGAATACCACAACTACCCTATGCTGTAGGTCTCATTCTGAGTTTAGAGATGGGGAGTCTGAGACCTAGAGCCATTTATTCACTTGCCCAGGATGCTTCAGAGACTAGGCAATTTGCCTTGAAGCTGTATTTGAAGTGTGTAAAACTGAGATGTCACATTAAATAATGGTGGGAAAAAAAATAACAGTGGAGTTAATGGAGGTTTTGGAGGTGCTAAAACTCCCCCAGCTGTCTCTTGGAACTACCAAGACACAATGAAAATGGGGATGTTGGAAATTCAACCCTGAGCCTGTGGATCAAACTCTTTCCCCTAGCAAGACTGCCCTTCCTGGAGAGAAGGATTACACCGAGTGGAATGTCTGAGCTGCAAGCTCATCCTGGTGCTACAAGTGAGCTGTGTCACCATGAAGGGGAAGCCTGAAGCACCTCTTGCTCCTGACCCCACAAGTACCTTAGCCATCCAACCACTTTTCTTCTTCCCTTAAACTCCCTTCTCCCTCCTCCAGTCCCCTCTTCTGGTGAGGTAGAAGGGGGCCAGAATAAGGTGCAAACAAACATACAATAAGATGAACTTACTCCCATGTGCTACAGCTAAAGATCAACTAAGATATGGTGCAGCCAAATAAATAAAAGACTTCCATGTTATCTGCTACAGAAGTGATAACTGAAGCAGGCATTGAGCTTTTTTAGCTGATGATGAGGGGAAAGGGACACTGACATGTAGGTCTGGGCCCCTTAAAGGGCCATGGCACTTCCTTCCAAAGTGTTACTCAGTCGTGTCTGACTCTTTGGGACCCCGTGGACTGTAGCCTGCCAGCCTCGTCTGTCCATGGGATTCTCCAGGCAAAAATACTAGAGTGGGTTGCCATGCCCTTCTCCAGGGGATCTTCCTGACTCAGGGATTGAAACTGGGTCTCCTGCATTGCAGGCAGATTCTTTTTTTTTTTTTTTTTTTAGGCAGATTCTTTACCATCTGAGCCACCAAGGAAACCCACTTCCTTCTAAAGGGTGTATCAAGAATAGATTGGTTAGGGGGAAATGGAAATCCCCTGGTGGTCCAGTGGTTAGGACTAGGCGCTTTCACTGCTGTGTCTCTGATCAGGGAATTAAGATCCCGCCAGCCAGGTGGTATGCGGCCCCACCCCCCACCCCGCCCCCAAAAAGGATTTTTTTGGTTGCATGACCTCCATCTTGCTGGAAGGCACCCTCGGCAGGGGCTACATGAATGAAGACTGCATGGATGCCCCCCTCCCTTAGGAGCCTTGTACACATAGACCCTTTTGTGGTAACCATATCTACATGTAGGAACCATATCTATATGGTTCCTAGCTCTTGGGAGGAACCAATCAATATGGATCTATTGCCAGAAATGACTTGTTACATATTTGGTTACCTTTATAATTCACTGAGTTGATTGACTTTTCCAGTGAAACTATATTCTCTTTCCTGACTTTTCCAGTGAAACAATGTTCTCTTTCCTTGCTAACACTTCAAATATAAGCTTCAGTTAATAAAAAAAAAAAAAAAAAGAATGGATTGGTTAAAGGAGTATGGGAGGCCACCAAGGACAGACAGAAGTTGTATAAAACGCCATAAGGAAAGGACAACTTGCTTCCCCATTTACCTGCTTGAGAGACGAGTACTTCTAAAAACAGTCCTCTGAAAGCCACTCACCATCCTGGGTCAATGCTTCTTCAGCAGATGATTTGGGGAACTCAAAGGAGGATTCCCCTCTCTGAACCCAGGATCCCACCAAAACCACAGGATCAAGGAGGTGACATGGACCGCCTTGGGCAGTAGAGAACTAAGCCCCTGAATGCTCTCCTTCTGGCATGGAGTTCCCCCTGCCAGGCTGAAGGGCAGCGGCATCCAGCACAGGCTATGCCAAGGCCATCCTGTCCGACCTTTGTATGCTCTGCTGGAGCCCAGGGGTGGTGTCATCTTCCAGGTTCCTGCACCTGCCCATTGGCTGTCCTTGAGCCTCTGTAGGACTGACACGCAGGGGAATGTGCAGGGGGAGTGGTGGGGGCGGGGATGCCTGTGCGCCTGCCCCCATTTCCAATGTTTACCCCGAGCTCTGTCTCAAACCTCTGTGTCCAGCATCTTTCCTCATTCCTTGGGTCTCTGCAGATCTCCTCAGAGCTGCCTGGGGGAGGCCAGAGACTCATGACAGTCCTCGTGAGCAGGATGGACCTTGGAGGAGCTGCAGCCTGGGCAGGAATTAGGGGCCGTGTGTAGCTTCTGGGAGGCTTACATAAACACTGGCTGGGATGGGGAGGGAAAGAGGGATGCAATGGGCAGCCCAGGGAAAAAAAGCAACCCCGGACAGCCAGCTCAATCTGAGTGGAAAGAAGGAACAAGGCTGGTTTTCCCTCCTCCCATCTCTCTCCCCTGGTTTGCAGCTGTTAGTCGGTCTGGAAAGACTGCATTATCTTGGGGGAGGGGGCAGGCGAAGGAGAGGGGGAGGATGCGACTTCACAAATTTGGGATCCCTCCCCTTTTTCTAAATCGGGGGTGGGGGTGGGAAGAAGCAATTTGCCAAAGAGATTTTTCAATGCCACAGGAAGGAGCTTTGGCTCATTAGAATGCACAGTTTGCACCCTGAAAAAAAAAAATCTGTGCTGGTTGCAAAAATGCAGACGTGTGTAGGGGCCCAGCAGAGAATTAAAAAAAAAAAAAAAAGCGCTAGCTCTGCAATGCAGGATCTGCGAAGTTTTGATGCGGTGAGGAAATGTGGGTCGTGCTCAGTTCGTTTGCTTGTTCCTGCTAACCTACTGTCCGCCTGACTCCAGCATCGTCTCACATCCCAGCAAGAGGCACTGCAGTTCAGAAACAGGGTCACAGGCGGGGGCCAGAGCCCAGGGCTGGGAGCAGGGGTCTGGGGTTAGAGTGCTGAGACAGGACGCTATGGGGCTGGGAGGACTGGGCAGAAGGGAGGCCGGAGGGATGGAGGGATGGATGGAGGAACTTGTCTCTCGAATCGCAAGGAAGAGTTCTCCAGCTGGACGGGGTTAGTGTTCCTCCAGATCTCACCCCCACCCCCATCCCATCCCTCAACTCCTCCCGATCCCCAGTTGGCAGAGGGATTTTCCCTTTCCTGTCTGCTCAACCTGCAGACAGATCACTGCTGCAGAAAGAATCCTTGCTTCCAATCCCCAGCCCCACAAATTCCCGACCTCTCCTGGTTCTAATCCTGGACAGGGCACTCACCTTATCTCTGGATGGCATCCTCCTTCCTAGAAATAGGGGACCCTGCAGCCTGACTGGGGGAGCCCAGACTGCAGGGAAACCAAGACTTGGCTCTGGGCGGCCATTAGCACATCAGTTGGAGGGCTGAAGCTGGCATTCTGTGTTCTTGGCTTGGGGAGGCTTTTTGTTCGTTTGGGGCCTAGGGCTCTAGGTTGTGTAAATGCCAAGGGGCTGCCTTGGAGGAGAACCTCCCCCAGGGGAAACCATATTCCTTTCCTGGGTGTTTTCTCCCCTGGTGGCTCGCGAGAGGCAGAAAGAGACGCAAGCAGGGTAAAGAGCCAGGAGACGGGGGACGGGAGCCCTTTCACTTCGTCCCCATCTTTCCTCCTGCTTCTCCGGTCGGTGGAGGACCGGGCCGAGACTCACGCGGGCTGCCGGGGTCACATGGCCCGGGCATGTGCAGCCTGCTCCATTTCTACCACAACAACTCGCTCATAAACAGCCCGGCTGCCGCGGCGGTGGCGGCGCAGACATGTGCGAGCGAGGGGGTGGGGCACGTGGCCCTGCCGGAGCCAAGGGAAGGCGCTCGCTCAGCACGGCCTCTCCCCTCCCCGCGCTGGCGCTGCCTCGCCACAGGAAATTCCTAGTGCTCCGCTGCCGCTGCAAAACATGTTTTTGGGAAGTGACTTTCAATAAGGATGGAGTCGATGGACTATTTAAATAGAGACAGAACGGATAATCAGTCGAAGACCCACTTCTGCCCGCCCTTGCCCTCTCTCTGCAATCCCTGTATGCCGTTGGGGTGGAGGGCTGAGCAGGAGTCACGTGTTCCTAATTCTCACCTGTTCCTTCCTACTAAACCTTCCTACTAAACCGTATGAAATTAGAACCAACCAGATCCCCGTGGTGAGTGAGCACTGGGATGAGGGGCTGGGTTTGCCTAAGCCAGGGATGCTCAGGATCCACTGGTGGTCCCAGGATTAGTGGTGGGGTCAGCATCACCTAGGCACCTGTTAGAAGAAATGCAGGTTCTCATGTCCCATCCATCTCATGCCCACTGAATCAGAAACTCTGGTGATGAAGCCCAGCAGTCTGAGTTTCACCCAGCCCTAGGAGGCGAGTCTGATGCTGGAGAACCATGGCTCTGGGTCTCTGTTCTCTAGCAAACAGTCCTGTAGGAGATTCTATCCCAGGATCTGGGGAAGGTCTTCCTTCTCCCTTTGTGCTTCTTTATCTTAAAGTTTAGTCAGACAGCGTAACCTGATTCAGTGTGAAAAGCATTTATTGAGTGCCTACTGTGTGCAAGGAATCTGGAAACGAGAGCAAATGAGTAGTAAGAGGATAAGTAGCTGAGACATGATAGGGTAAGGTTTGGGGGAAAGAATGAGGGAAAGAGAAGGCCAAGACTGTGACTATCCTTTCTCCATCTTCCCTACTTTTCTTCCTGGGGCTCCTATAGAACAATAGATGATTGTGGTTTAAACTGTTTTGAGTCTAGAGGTAGAAACTGGTCCCTGTCTATTTTTGCTGGCCTTGGGGACCCGAAACTTGTTACAGCCATAGGTCCTTTGACTCCCCATGCAAAACCAAGAGTACAGCACCATCAGTTCAGTTGCTCAGTCGTGTCTGACTCTTTGGGACCCCAGGGACGGCGCCACGGAGGCACACAAAGACACACACTCCTTGGGGCTGGGTGGGGGTGGGGTGGCAGGGGTAGGGAGAGCCTAGAAAAGGAATGAGGTCCCAAAGGGTTGGAAGTACCCTCAGGCAAAATGAGTTTAACAGATAAAAAGCAGGAAGAGCCTTTCAATGGGGGTGGGTGGGGACAACCATGGCCTACTCTAGCTTCCTGAGACCCAAAAACTGTAACCAGAGGAAGCAGAAGGTCTCTGAGGCAAGTCACAAAGGCTTCTGAGAATGAAACCTGAGCCTTGAAAGCAAGGTGACTGAAGAATGGGGGATGGACACAAGAAGGGTTCCCTTACACAGGCAAGCAGAGAAAGAATGGAGCATGGGAGGGAAAGCCAGGGATGGGGCCTTGCTCAGCCTCTCCTCTCTCCCCTTCCCTCCTCGCTCACATGTGGCCTCTCAGGAGCGGAGCTCCCATTACCTGTCTCGGATGTGACCAGCTGACTTATGGCCTCTCATGCTTCATTTTTTGAGGAATATGCTTTCCTCTGATTCTCACAGAGCCCTTTCTCTCACTTCTCTGCAAGGTTTCCTCTCTGTGTCTGAAAGGCACTGGGCTCAAGGAGCAGACAGCCCCGCAGGTTCTGCTGCAATGACCTACATCGGCTCTCCCCTAGGCCCTGGGTGTGGGGGGTGCTGAGGTTTCAAGACAGGAACTCGGGAATCTAGCACAGATCTGCAGATGATGACTTCAGGGAGACAGGCTGCAAAATCTGCACCGGTACACTGTGAGGCAGGGTTGAGTTCTCACTTTGTCATTGTGGACA